CTAAGTAAGCTTGCTGCAACACAGACTGAGAGCTGGACACATAAGTGGTTGCATTCCTATTTTTTGATATGAAGCAGTACACCGTCTACAATGGAATGTCCTCCACTACCTCACTTACTTTAGCTGGTGTTCCTCAAGGTGCTGTTCTTTCTCCTTTTCTGTCTTCGTTTTTCTTACTAGACTTGCCCCATTCTGATGTAGTCAATTTTGTTAAGTGTGCCGATGACCTCTCTGTTTCTATGCCTGTCAACTCTCAGTCAGATTGTTCCAAATTATTAAATAACTTTCTGTCGGGAATTAGTCAGTGGTCTTCACCAAACGGTCTTAAGCTAAATCCGTCTAAATGTCAGGTAGTCAACTTCACTTTCAGACGTAAACTTGGCCTACAACAACTAGCTAGCTCACATAGCCAGACTATCATTGACGGCATAGAGGTTGAAATTACATCTAATGTCCAGTACCTTGGACTTAGTATTTTCTCCGATCTTTCCTGGTCCTCCCACATCTTGCCAGTTACTAGTAAGATGTTTTGTTTACCGTTCTACGTTAGGAAGTCAAAGCAGTCTGGCACAAAGCAGTCTTTGCTTTCACAGTTTGTCAATTATTGCATTCTACCCATCCCCCTTTACTGCTCCCCATTAATCTTTCCTGGACTACTTAATTAAGACTTTGCTTCGCTGAGAATGGGAGGCACTAGAAGCCGTTGGTAGGGCAAGTGGGATATTGTTAAACCAACTGGTTAACACTATTGTGGATAGACATATAATGTCATGTAAGAAACTAGCGAATACTATATTGTCAGACCCCGAGCATCCTCTCTATATGCAGCTCTCTCCTTGCATTTCATCTGGTAGAACTAGAAGCTATAGCAATAGGAGGTTATATTCTAGGACTATCACGTACAAAAACTCCAGAATACCATATCTGGCACAGCTGTTATGTGATGAAAAATCCGTTAGGTATCACACGATAAACTGACTGCGGTACTCTAACAAATAGTCCCATTAGTTTATGTTTTCCTTTCCTCGTTACTATTACACCGTTGTTCTTATCTTGTATTACACACCAATTTTATATTTCATATCCTGTGGTGCATTGTTTAAAATGTAAACGCAAGACTGTTCCTCATATTTCTTTTTATTTATGTATTTTTTTGGTTGTTGCTTTTTGATTTTCAAATCTTATAAAATTTATGAGATAATTAGATGCAATATATTGTAATGTACGCTGAAAATTCCATACCTATACCACAAATACTGTTTGGAATAAAGCTGTTATTATTATTATTATTATTATTAAAATGCACTGTGATAGCGAGCCACATAGCTTGGTGGCCACATTTTAAACTTAACTGATAAATATCAGTCTTCAGGAAACAAGCCAGTGTCCAATCAAAGTGTCTAATCAATATAAAACTATTCAAATTTAAATATTCACGGAATATACACACTGGATCAAAGGCATTATTAAAAACAAAAGACGGTTGCAGCAAAGAAAATCTACCCCTTTTCGACGAAGTCATCGTCAACTAGACAGCTGTACATTCGTGTATTTATAATAAATGGGTGAGAAAGTTCAAGAATAATTTCTGGTCAAGGGTCAGATTAATACAATGACAATTAGGAATTAAAATGCCATAATAAACAGACAGGGGACGGATAAAACTCAAACAAATTAGCATCATAATTATTGAGAAAGTTGACATATTGTGCGATTGGGAGTTAGAAATGTAGAAATAACAACAATAGACAGGATGTTTGGATAAAGAAATCTAGTGGGATCATAACTAATGTGACGAATAATTGTTTATGCTTTTCAAAAATTTAAAACAATTAGTCCCTAATAAAACAGGGAAATAAACAGTAGGATTATGAGACAAAGGTTGAATTCGATCATCCGTAGAATCCACTATGCAGCCCAGCTTGTAATTGTCGAAAAAGCCAAAAATATACGCTTCACTGCAAACCTCAAAAGTGCACAAGTGATTATGTCACATCCCACACTATTTACCAATTTTCGTGTGTGTGTGTGTGGACATACATACATACATACACAAGGAGGAGTAATCGCGCTTTGCATGTGAGGGTGGGAGAGCATATTCCAAAATGGCTAGAAAAACAAATGAAAACCAATAGATGCAGGTGTCAGACTACCAACTTCGTCTATAGCTAAACACCCAATCGAGATGAACCATAAGACTGATGTTAACTCAGCCTTTAAGGTCATCTATAAAAACGGTCAAGGGCGTTTACTGCAATACGCTGAGGCTATAGCTATTCATAAACTTAAGGCCTCCCCCCACTGTGTATTCAAAAACAGTTTATTATTACACTTAACCTACCTTGGTAATCCTTATTTGATTGGATTACTAAACTCTGCGTTAATCGTTCTTAAATTCTTTTTTGTTACTTAGTTTAATTTAACATTTTCATATACATTTATATATATATTTATTGTCTTGACAAGTAAATGTGTTTTCTATAGTTTGGTTTGTAAGGGTTAGTTATGTTTTTACAAGTTGATCACGGATTGATATCAGTTAGAGATACCATTGAAAACCAGTGAGTACTGGACAGCTGTTTCCTCAGCCCATTTTGGGGAGTACGCACCCACCACAGCAGGTTCGAACCCAGGACTTTCCGGTTACAAGGCAATCTCGTATACCATTCAGCCACTGGAACCTGATTCAATGGCCAGTGCATGAATTCTAACTTCTATCGATTCGTGATTTAGCGCGACCCCAACCATTGTCGTGACGCCTGGATGGACCTCACTGGTCACGAATTCTCACTAGAACTCCAGGATACTCCATCCTGTAGAAAGGCAATAGCGAGCATCAGACTAATTTTCTATAGTCCTAGTGAGAATTCGTGACCAGTGAGATCCATCCAGGTGTCACGTGTGAGGATGGATATCCCACCAACGACAATGGTTGGGGTCGCGCTAAATCACGAATCGATAGAAGTTAGAATTCATGCACTGGCCATTGAATCAGGTTCCAGTGGCTGAATGGTATACGAGCTTGCCTTGTAACCGGAAAGTCCTGGGTTCGAACCTGCTGTGGTGGGTGCGTACTCCCCAAAATGGGCTGAGGAAACAGCCGTCCAGTACTCACTGGTTTTCAATGGTATCTCTAACTGATATCAATCCGTGATCAACTCGTAAAAATTAAATGTATGATCAGATTGTTCGAAATGTAAAGCACAAATACGTCACATTTTTCAGATAATCTCCGTCTTCTTATAACGCCATTCAAATTGTTTATGCATTTAGGGGGGATAAAGTATGTAGAAATAATAAAATGACAAAATAGACAGGAAGTTCGGATATGAAAATTATTATTATTATTATTGTATCCTTTAGTTCCTAGAGGAACATAGGGCTTCAGCTGCGCACCTCCATTGCCTTCGGTTTTCTGACAACTTTTTCACCCCGCTCCAGGTCTGTCCACATGCTTTCATCTCCTCCTCACATGACCTCCTCCAAGTCACCCTTGCACTGACGACCAACTCGCCGCCTCCCTTTCGGGTTCCACTCGGGTGATGGCTTGTCTAGTGATGTCACTTGATGGTTTCCTCAGCGTATGGCCAATCCATGGATATGAAAATATGGTAGTGTAAATAGGGATTAGGGAAAACTTAAAAGAAAACCCTGAATAAACAGTGTAACAACAGAAGACAAGGGCCAGGCAACAGATCGTTTTATTATGAAAATCGACACGTATTTATACATATTTCAACTACATTATTATAGACAAGCGCAGTCATCTGATTGGTTGTTTTTAGGTAGACAAACGCAGGCTTCTGATTGGTTGTTTCGGGATTCCTTGACAAATCGAGTTCTCTATCTGCGAATCACATTTTGCCACGTTAACTTTGCTGTGATTGGTTGTTGACTCAGTCTTGTTCATATTTTCTCACGGCCCATATTAGTGACCTAGACCTTAACGTAGATTAGTGCCAACCAATCGGCTAGCAGCCTGCTCTCACCACACTCGTCCCCCCGTCAAATACGTGCGACTGAAGTCGGCTTGATCTAATTGGTGCAGGCGTCATCGTTGGCTTGTCTCGCTGTATCCATTTCTGGAGCTCGCTGACGTTCACGCGCCTCTCATTGTTCGCCATTGCGACTGTGTCTGCGTAACCCCATCTCGAAGTGACCATATATGGTCCTTCCCACTTTGGAAACTGTTTGCCTGACCCTGTCGAACATTCGTCCATACCTCGGCCCACACCTTCATATGCTGCTTTCGCCCGACCTCCCAGCAGCGTCTCAAGTAGCAGCTCCATCGCTGACAAATTTTGAACGCCACTCAACTGCGCAGAAGCCTTGAAGTCCTGCCCGAAGATCCATATGTCTCCATCAAAAACTGCAGGGTATAGGCTTTTCATTTGTCGGTAGGCAGCGACACCAAATGTAACAACAGAAGACAAGGGCCAGGCAACAGATCGTTTTATTATGAAAATCGACACGTATTTATACATATTTCAACTACATTATTATAGACAAGCGCAGTCATCTGATTGGTTGTTTTTAGGTAGACAAACGCAGGCTTCTGATTGGTTGTTTCGGGATTCCTTGACAAATCGAGTTCTCTATCTGCGAATCACATTTTGCCACGTTAACTTTGCTGTGATTGGTTGTTGACTCAGTCTTGTTCATATTTTCTCACGGCCCATATTAGTGACCTAGACCTTAACGTAGATTAGTGCCAACCAATCGGCTAGCAGCCTGCTCTCACCACAACAGGAAGTTTGAATGTGAAAGTCAATGGGATAGTCACTATTTAAAGAATAACCTGTTTATGATGGCGATGGCAGGGGCAAAGGTTGGACGTATTTCTTTTGGATACATAGCCTCCTAGTTGATGACTTCATCGAATATAAAAATTCTCTTCGCTGCAACCAACTTTTTTTTTACTAAAATTCACTAAAAACGACTAGTTGTTTTCAGTCTAGCAATGATCGAATCAACTTTTTGTTGTTGTTATTTCTTTTCAGCCATTTCTACTAATGGAGACTGTGAACGGACTAATCTAAAGCAACACACTTCATCGTTTACAGATTGGTTTACACGTCGAAGACTCAAATCTCCAAATGGTTCAACATCTCCAGATAATATTAACATAAAATTTAAGTCTTATATGGATTCAACTCCAGTCGCAAAAGCTGAATCCACACACATCACTACATCTATCAATTATACGGTGAATAATTCCTCGGAAAATAATTCCAGTCGGAAGTCATACAGTTTCTTTCGACATTTTAGACTGTCGAAATCTGATTATGTTCATTTAGCTGCTGTCCCATTACTACCAGAAGGTGTTGAAGTGAATCCGGATTTGATCACTAGAAGAGATACTTCTTCATTGCGTCAGTCCCCGGGAAATCGGCTTATTTCCCCGCTGAGTGAGACAAATTCTTTCGTTACACAAGGAAAAGATGTTCGAGATCATTCTGGTGATGTTCATTTTGAAAAAGTTCCCAATTATCAGTTAAATTCTTGTCGATGTAAATCAGTCAATTCCAAGTAAGTTAATAAAAAGTATTTACGTTAATTTTCAAATAATAGTGTTCTCTCAGCTGGTTGGTTTAGTTGTGAAGCTTTCGTCGTCTCGCTTCTAGACAACATTTTCAGCGCAATATTTAGCATAAAATGAAATGATTTAAATTTCTTCATGAGTGATATAATTGCGTTTCCTGGTAGCCATCTTTACATAGGTAGTGATCAATTTTTATTCACGAGGATTTTAAACTTTCTGGTCACATGATTTGCCTTTTATTAGTAGGTATATTTGGTGTATATTAACGTTCCAATGTCGCCGAAAAGAACATGTTCCAAAATGGCTATTAAATCATATCGAAAATCCCAACGCGATTAATCTTAATAGAAATCCGCCATCATCCCTTGCAAAACACTTCTTAATGTCAGGTCACAAGATCAATATTGATTCATGACTGTTTCACAATTATTTCATCACATAACTTTAATTCAAGGTTGGTTATTGAAGGTGGTGGAATCACTTTGGATTAATCACAGTCACATACCGTCTAAACTGTGTGTACAAAAACAACAGACTACAATCTTCGCCTACCATGAACTGACTACTTGACTTATTTAAATATGATTGGTCATTAGAATGTGCTTTTGTTTTTTATTTAACTGAGTAATTGTCATGATCCTTATTTTATTTTATTATTCTTAACCATGTTAGTTGTAAAGCGGTTGTAAAGAAACTACGAAATGATGTCATCTCGCGAAATTTGTCTTCTTAATGCCTTATTCAAATTTATCAAAGGGACTAATTGCTTTAACTATATTAATGTGTTTGTTAATAGTATATTTGTTTGAGTACCAGGCTTCTAGGGATTCCCTGACTGCACTTTTGGTGTTGCCTCTGTCTAAGATTTCGACATTATCCCAATCATCAAATTGATGTTCATAATTGACTATATGCATTGATATTAACCAGGAATATACATCTTGTCTTTTCACAGCTGGTTTGAGTTCTTGGATTCCGATTCGAAGGGGATGCCCACTTTGGTTGATGTAATGCCTGTTACAGTTCACAAAATTATTTATTTTGTAAATTGTATTAATTTTGTCTCCTTTTTCTGTTGGATCTTTCGGTTCGCACAATATCCAATGAAGTTATTTGAATGGCTTGTGTGCTACATCCACATCAAACGGTTTCAGTATTTTAGCTATTATTTCAGAGATATTTCTCATGTATGGTAGGATGAATTTTCTTGTGGCCTTTGATGATGGTTCTTTGTCTGTGTTGTGATTCGATTTTAAACACTTTTTGATGAAATTTTGTGGATAACCATTCCTTGTGAAGACGGTTAGTAGGTATTTTTCTTCCATTCTCTTCAGCCCACTGGAGTGCTGCAGTGTTGTGTTTGAACTCTTTTAAACAATGTCTGCACACCATTTCTTTCGTGAGTGAGTAATTGGATTATTGCTACTAGTATAGTTGAGTATATGATCTGTGTGAGTACGTTGATTTTCTATATACTTGTGTTTCTAAATTTCCTGTGTTGGTTCTCCTGATTAAGATATCTTAAAATGGGATCTTTTTTATATAATTCTTCTTCTCTTCTAAATTTGATATCTTCAAATATGTTGTTTATTAATTTATGGGTAAATTCTAAATCATTTGTCTTAATTATTGCAAATGTATCATCAACTTCGCATGTCCAAACCTTTGCTTGGTTTAATTATAGGTTGAGCTATTAATTCTAATCTTTTCAGCACGATGAAAGCTCCGCAACTAAACCAACCAGCTCAGAGAACACTATTATTTGCAAATCGTCCACTTGAGCTACAAATCTTCTCTATTATTTACGTGAATTACTATGGGATGCTCTTTTTTATCCGGTTGCATCTTTTCTTGACTTAATTTACACGGAAAAGGAAACTGGGGAATTAAGGTAAACCTAGAGCTCTATTCCTGAATGATGTCTGCTGCCTGAACGTGATGACTGGGCTGTACTAGCTTGAGAGAATGTTCCTATAAGTCTGAAAATTGCGTGGTGGGTTGAGAAGGCATAATGGTACTATTGTCGCGAAAGGGTGTACCAACAGTCAGGTGCTCCTCTAGAGTAAGCCAGCAAGCGAAATTTTGTCGACATTCAGTTCTCTGTAAAAGAGATGTTATATAAGGCGGATCCTACAGTAGTCAGTATCTGGTGGTAAGGTCCTCTGTGGGCATAAATTCACGATTCTCACTTTCGAACAGACTGTGTGTGAGTGGCTTATCTATAATTTATCTACACTAAGTGTAGCGATCAAAACTGATTTGGGTTTGGTCTGAATGCTGGAGACCGTTGTTTGCGTTCTATTGTATAGCTGACCACAATTTCTCATGAGTTATTCACGGCCACAAAATGCCCCGACAACGACAAAGCGACGCTTATCTTCAATAAAATCTGCGGCTGCATTCAACAATCAGAATTAAATAGACAGTGCCGTTAGGTAGGTAGCTAAACAGATCACAGAGTTTTCCAGTACGAAACAGGTGGTGTGGAACGAAATTAATTAACCCATTGATCAACCTTATGAAGTACCTGAGAGTGAGATTAGAGCTCTGTCGGTAAAAAATCACACAACAAACAATTCCTGCAGATAGGGTCTGTGGGAAAGAGTACTGCTGCATTATGGAACACTTGCGTAAACCGTATTCATGCAATAATCGACTGAACGGACATTGAGACAACAGTTCCCTGTTGAAGAAGTAACATTACGTGGTAAATCCCTTGAAATCATAAAAACGTTAACGGTATAATAGGGAGAAGAGATTTAAACTGTCTAGTCATTCCTCGTATCATAAATTAGTCCTGCCGAGAACCATAGGTGTTGCCTTCCTTTCAAAGCTTTATAGAATGGACGAGTACCCCTTACGACAAGGACTGGTTGCCTGGATCCAGTTTTCTAGTCTTGATCTCACCAGAGATGCATATAAAGGGGTGAACGTATCCATGGTGATTCTAGTAAACGCTCTGAGAACTGCCTATAAGGATCTGAAACTATATGGAACCACCGCTCAACACTGTGCTGTAGTTATTAAGTCTTGACTTACTATGGCACCTAAATTCAAATGAGTCTGAACTAATGGGGATTTTATTCCCTGTAGTTTATAGGAGCTGGTCCTTGCGTTTCCGATGCGCATGGTTGCACATTTCGCTACATTGATTGGGAGCATCCATTCCCTGGACCACTCTGACAATTTGTTGAGGTCTGTTTGCAACAAGAACGGATCAGTGCCTCATTTTTCGGTGTTAAATATCACACACAGGTTGATACATGCATAAAATGTCTGAATAAATATTCTATCGCCTTGTTTTTACGTTTTCTTAAGACCTGAAATACCAACACTAGTGAAACCAGCTTCCCACATCACACAAGTTCTATCGATGTCAGTTGAAAATCCCAACGCCTCCGGCAGAATTGACCTGATTCGTACATCAAGTTTTCTAACACGTAAACAACGCTATCTTAAGCGTTTAAAAGCTGCACAAGAATTAGATTCATCTCTGACTAATAATGATAACAACCTATCGTGCACGAAGCATCCATACCTTCAATCGTTTAGAACAACAACTCCAACTCCATTTGCATCTGGCAGCCGATGGCGTAGAGTACACAGCTTCCCAGCTCTGAGTAGACACTCTGGTACTACGACCAAGAGCAAATCTGGAAATCATGATGATGGTGCTTCAGGACAAATCAGTTATAAAGTTAATCAAGCATCACTGAAAACTGATGACAGAATCGATCCGCATAACTGTTATCCAGCGAAAATCGATTTGGCTTTAAGTCCTACTTCCACACATAAAAGAGTTAATGAAGTACAAAAGAAGTCAAGTATAAAATACACTGAGAAACCGGTAAGTTCACTTCACACATGTTTTTGTGTCTAGATCATTTGAAGTTGAGTATGTCTCTATTTTCTAGTAAGAATTATTCTCTTTGTGTTTTGAAAGTCTTTCTTCTGTGGACATTATCTGTCTGCCTGTCTGTTTTCGACATAAAACTTTGCACCGATGTGCATCAGCTCAAATCACCACACTCCATGTAGTACACAGAGCAAGAGAAGAAATTAGAAGAAATGCATATTAGAGACAGTAAACTGAGGTGCGAGAGAAAGAAATAGTAATAACGAAGAACAATATAGCTTCGTTGGAAATCATAAGTCACAAGGAGTGGATGTATCTGCGCTAGCCAGCCATTGAGATCGATTTTGAGCCATATCACTGATAATTGTCTCGAGTAATTGGTTTTTACCATCCCGAGGAACCCAACCAGTCAGCAAGGTAGCCTACACCTTCCTACGTGGCTGGCTTAGACTAACTGTTGTAGATTTCAATGACTGGTGACATGTTTTTGATTGACTTCCGCTAGCTCTTTTCCAGCCTGACCCTATGTCAGCTAACATTCCCCGTCGAGGATGGCGATGACTAGGCATGCATAACACATATCCTAACAATCTCAGTCGATGTGATTTCACAGCCTCGTCGATTGATTTCCCCTCCTTACCTAGCACTCGACCGCTGTCTAACCTCAATATTGCTCACCTTATTACACTATTTTACACGGGAGATAGAACGCAAGCACCTATGATCATAGACAGCTAGCCTTTTCATGTCTTTCACTCTTAATGGCCATGTTTCTTTCACAGCCATAAAGGAGGATGGAGCGAACTGCTGAGCAGTACACCCACCCTTTGTTCGACAGCCAGCCGGATATCACGTCTACTAAGCCAGAGACGGCGTAAACTGGCAAATGCGAAACTAGCCCTCTGTATCCGTGCTGACATTAGCATTATTATTATTATCATCGGTGCAGTTCGAAAGTTGATATGGCAGGTTGACGCTTTACAGATGATTCTTGATTCGACAAAATTTCAGTTACTTTTCAGCACCACCATCAGCAATCACTGTTCTTGGTAAGTGTTTGTTTTCACACCTAACTTGGTGGACGGACCTTAATTGAAAAATTAATCGCATTCTCACTAGAGACTGACAACAAGATAAAAATGCCCAAAGTTCTGGTGAGAACTTGTGGCCATTGAGATCCACCAGGTCGTGTGTCAGGAGAAATAATCTTCGATGATACTTGGTTGGAGGTGGCGCTAAAAAAACCACTAAATCGATCATTAGATTCCGTCCAAGAGGCCGAATAGTCAACAAGATTGCCCAGTAACTTGAAGGCCATGGATTTATACTCCTGAAGAGGTCCAAACCAGGATGAAACAGCTATCCAGTACTCGCACCCAGGTTTTCACTAGGTTTGTTAACTGATATCAATTACCGATTGAAGCTGGAACCGATGAAATCCATACAAACTAACACTAAGTAGCACATTTCAGTTAGTTCAAACACAGACAACATGAATAATTTCGTTTGAAAATTGCCTACCTTAAGCCGTAGACAATACGCCATACGTCAAGCCTAGTTGACAAAGCAAAAAGGATGGCGATAACTGTTGGAGTATGATTTACAGTTTGCCCCTTCACAGATCAGTGCTTTTTTCAGTAATGCCAAAAGTGATATCAACCCTTGAAATTCTCGAAATATTAGCTAAATAAACTATTGAACTATAAGAACATTTTGACGACCCTAATTTGCTATAGTTTAGTTTGTAAGGGTTAGTTTTGTTTTCACGAGTTGATCACGGATTGATGTCAGCTAGAGAACCATTGAAAACCGGCATGGAGTACTGGCTGTTTCATCCTAGTTTGGGAATTATCAGCAGTACGCAACCACCACCACGGTTCGATTCCAGGACCTTCCGAAGTTGTATTGAGAAGTCGTGACCAGTGAGATCCATCCAGATGTCACGTGTGTGGATGGATCTCCCACCTACGACAATGGTTGGAGTCGTGCTAAATCATGAATTGCCAGAAGTTAGAATTCATGCACTGGCCATTGAATCGGGTCACAGTGTCTGAATGGTATATGAGCAAGCTTGCCTTTTAACCCGAAGGTCTTGGGTTCGAACCCTTGTGATGGGTGCGTACTACCGACACTTTCCGATCTAGGATGAAACATATGGTTGTCCAGTACTCTATGCTGGTTTTCAATGCTTCTCTAGCTGATATCAATCCGTGATCAACTCGTAAATACCCTAATTACTGAAATGTTTCCTTGAGCTCACTCAGAACTGAGTTGAAGGTTTTAAACATAATCCGGTGTCATCTGACATTGATTGTCGTAGAAAGTTATAGCTTAGCGTGCCTAACACATGCGGTAGCCATGTCACTCGACGCAACTCGATCAACTTACGTCTACTTACATAAGTGTGAAATGAGTTAGTATTTCCTCTGTGTGGAATAAAATGAAAGTCATTTTGGAAAACAAAAATTATTCTATTTAAAGTATGTAGGTGACTAAATTCGTACTAGTGAGAGGTCTCCTAGTAGAAGTTTCAATTGAGACTCCCCATTTCTTGTTATCTAATCACAAACTAGTTTCCATTTATGGGTAATAAATGGCTATTAATAATTGATACAGTAGTATTAACGTTTACAATTCTTGGTTAGATAATGTCTGGTTTAATTTTTATTCGCAAGATAATTTTTGTCAGTCAAATTACCAGTGCTTACTACACTGGCAGTTCATGTGGTCCACAGTTTTAGCAGTGACATGGATGTACGTACTCTTATAGTTATTAACACATAGTTAGTGATTATCCTGGAGATGTTCTTAAGACTTGGGCTACCATCTCTGTAATCGATTAAGATATGACCTCTAACGGTATCATCTACTCTTGGGTGCATGTAAAATATCTCCAAGCTTCTGATTCACAAGTTCCTACTAAACTTGAGGGAAGACCTGATTTTGGGTGGCAATGAGTTTGACTACATGAGGTAACTGTTCGTCAGTTATGTCCTTGGGTCTCAGAATATATTTCTGAACATCTTACAGTTGGCTTTCAACTAGATGTCGTGGATTTCTTGAAGGAGAGAAAGCAGATATATCATGATGGAATGGTTTGTGCTTTAGCTCAGAGACTATTGTGTCACAGGAAGGATATACTGTCAATTAATATTCTACTTGAAGATACTGTACAATGGGAAAATGTCGTGCAATAAACTCCACTGAAAATTCTGTACATTTTACAAATACTGTCCAGAATAAAGATGTTGTTATTAATGTCAATGGAATCCAGGAAGTAGGTTTTGCTCCACCCAGAGTTTATCAACTTTATTTACCTCCATCTTATTGAGTGGTAGTAGTCTTGCTTAGACTTGAGCACTTAGATGAAGCATTGTACTCCCACCTACTTCTTGTGCAATAAGCATCACTTTTAATCTGTTGACGGCTATGAAGTTCTTGTGTTCTTAAACTACTTTCTTTGATCTCTATGGACAGAAGTGATACCGCTAGGGAGCCACTTTCTGTCAATTAATATCAGGTTAATAAGAAATACAACATCGCTGTAACCAGTCGAATCCAATCCCTTCAAACCAACACCTAAATATCAATCTTATGCCAACTGGAAGTTGATCCTATACAGATAGGTCAGGCGTGAAAACAGATGCTCACCACCATTGACACTGACTAGTGGACGCGCTATATCGTGAATTGGCTGGTAGGATTTGGAATTTATGCGCTGGTCATTTGATCTGGTCCCAGTGGCTTTATGATCTTTTAGCCCGCCTCATAGCCAGAAGGTCCTGGTTTCGAACCTTTGCAGCGGGTGCGTACTGTTGAAAAGTCCTTTAGCGGGACGAAACAACTGTTTGGTCCTCCTTAGTCAGTTTTCCGATGGTTCTCTAACCCATATGAGCTCATGATGGAATCCTATAATCGAGAAATTTCAGTTGTTGGTTTGTAGGGATTTATTCGATCCCAGGGTGAATTGCTTTACTTTTTATCTGAGATCACAGAACACAACCAAGGCAAGATCATCTACCTGAGCTACACATGCTCTCTTGTATGTATGGATGATTCTACCGCAAATCACTCCTAAGAATTTTGGATAACAAGACAAGATTACTCTATTATCTTGTTATATATACTATTGCAGTTTTATTTCTTTTACTCTATCACTTTCTTAATTGCGTATTTTAATTCCAGCTATACGGTGTCCAGTCAATCGTTCAGAAATTTGAAGCTTCTGATGAACCGCCGAAAGAGAATTCCAGTCAAATATTCAACGAGACAATTAGTTTAAGCGAGTTCTTATCCAAATATTGTAAGGTAACAACTTCAAAGTCCACTGGAGTGAATAATTCATCAATTTCTCAAAGTTCTGAGAAAAACAGTCATCACATTGATGCGAATTTGCTTAACCAACATGAAAAAACACAACATGAATCAAACTGTGACAGTGGTGTACCAGTGTGTAAAATTTCAGTTGGTTTACAGTGTACCATTGCTAGTGGGGATAATGATGTTGATGACGATGATGATGGTGGCGGTTGTCGAACTAAACAAAGTACTTGTGATACAAGTGTTCAGACAGAAACAATTAACTGTTCATCATGCTTGTCTTCTAGGTATGTGACTTTCGTATATTATTATTTATTATTGTTCCCTTGGGTTTCTAGTGGAACATAGGGCTTCAACTGCACGTCTCCACTAGCCATATCTGTCTTCTGCGTACTTTTCTCTTGCATCCATGTTAGTCCATACTGTTTCAACTCCTCCATGTCACCCTTGCACTGGTGTCACACTCGCCGCTTCCCTTTCGGTCTGGTTCCACTCGAGCAATGGTCTGACGCGCGCGCGATGTCACCCAGCGCTATGCCTCCTCAGCGAGTGTCCAATCCATCTCAATCCACTTTCTCCTGCATATTTGTTGGTTCGCGACTGATTCCTGTTCTGTTTGTTTGTTCCCATAGTTTCTTGTTGGTAATTCTTTCCGGTCCGGCCATCTGACTGGTCTTCAGTATAGAGCCAGCGAAGACAGTTGTTGTTGATAAAGGTAACATCAACAACAGGCTGTTCGAAATATTCTTTGTGACCTACCCGCCAAGTTTCTCACCCGTATAGAAGAACTGACTGACTTGACGTTGTTTGTATTGAAAATCCGATCGAATTTTTTTGTTGATGCTGGCTGATTGACGAAGATTTCCAGATTGGTTTCAGGTTGATGAATGTGTTTCTCGCTCGCCTTCCCGATTCTCGCTCAATTTGACATCCTCATGCATTCCGACTGACTGTAGTTGAGACAATGCTCCCGAGATGAGTAATTGAATGAAGTAACCTCTTTCAAATTCCTCCCGTTGATGGTGATTGGCAGTGGATGTTGCTGCTGTTGTTGTTGTTGGTTGGTTATTTTCATAACTTCCGTCTTGTCCATGTTCACCTGGAGTTCTGTCTACGCCGGCTGCTTCCTCGACCAGTTTGTCGATTTTCGCTCGTATGTCTTCGATTTTGTGTGACATCAAACATAAATCATCCACGTGCGAGATCCAGGTCTTCTAGGTTCTTCACGTTGGTGCAGGATATCCCTGCTCCTCTTCTCGACTTTTTGTCCGCTAGGTATACTGTAACTCCACTGCACTATTGAGATGAAGTCTGTCTATTTCTTGGCGTGTGTCGGTCAGGTGAAACTCGTGTTATCTTCTCTATATATCCTTGTACTTTTATACACTACCTCCAATCACCAAATGATTGAAAGTTTAGAAGTCTGTGAAGAGTTCTCCGTCCTCTTTCCTTTCTCCGACAGCTTCCCAATCCATAATAAGTTCTCTTCCCCTGTTGTTCACTCTCAATTTAGTATTCACTTCGGCTATTGGGATTTGAGTTTCAAAGTTTTTCCAGCTTTGAAAATCTTGCGCACATTTCACGTCTCCATGCCTATTTTTTTGTTTTCATCGATCTAATACACATCGACTAACTGGCTCCCCCAGAGGCGTTCACTACCTCAAGAGATTCCGTCTCTCCAATTCCATCAAATAATAAGTTTGCCTAATATATTTTTGCTATGTTCTGAATTTTCTGTGGAGACTGAATTGATTTTCCAAGGTATGCACGCTAGCTCCATGCCTAACCTTCCCTTGTTTCTTTGACGTGGAACTGGCGAGTAAACTAGAAGAGGGTGTCTAGTTTACTTAACTGGTTTAATTTTTTCATCAGTTACACATTGTGGTTTAAAATTTATCATCATTATATTATTATTTTATTTAATTCCTCGAGGAACACGGGGCTTCAGCCAAACGCCTCCATTGCGTTCGGTTCTCTTTTAGAGCTCACACCTGGCTCCAGGTCTGCCCACATACTTTCATCTCCTCTTTACATGAATTCCTCCAAGTCACCCACACACTGATGACCATCTCCACGCTTCCCATTCGGGTTCCACTCGAGCGATGGCTTGTCGTGTGATGTCACTTGATGGCTTGTTTCCTCAGATTATGACCAGCCGATCCACCTCCATTTCTTTCTGCTTATTTGTTTCAAAATCGGTTCCTGCTGGGTTGGTTCGCTCACAGAGATCTCTGTTGCTGATCTTTTCTGGCCAATCCTCTGTTCTTAAGTACTGAGCGAAGGCAGCTGTTGACGAAGGTATGTAGTTTTTTGAGGTGCTTTTTAGGACGCATCAAGTCTCTGATTCGTACAGTGAGTAGCACTGACTTCACATTGGAGTTAAAAATCCGGATCTTATTTTTCATGCTGAGTGCTGAGTGTTGACCTCCACACAGGCTTGAGAGTAATGAAAGCTTGTCTTGCTTTCCTGATCCTCGCTTTGATATCCTCATCAGTTCCGCCTGTAGTTGGAAATTTATACTTTGAATAATTTTTGCAATCAGTAATAATGTGTTTTAATCTTAATGCATACTCTGTATTTATTTGTATTGAAATCAGAGTTGTAGATACCTGCCCGAATTCGAAAAACAACCTTTCCCTATCTACTCATGGTGACAATACGCTGAATTCTCAAAGTAATGAGTTGGCCATTTCATCATCGGACGACTTTTATGATTTACCAAATGTTACTTCAACTGGCAGTTTAAGTAAGTTTGTTTGTGTTGTACGGAAACAAAACATTTCTTATATGGCTTTTGTTATGCTTTTGATTCAGAACTAATGATGACAGTCATGCATCCTTTAAGAGGAGGAGGATGGTGTCCTTAACTGACTGGCTTGCCAAGGTAGAATTTCGTGTAGAAGTATTGTCAAGGAACTTAATCCTAAATTGCGACTATTTGCGAAGCCGCTTCGAAATGATCATTACTAGGTACGATTATCGACTTAAACTCCAGAACACAAGGACCAATAAAAACTTGTATTACAGGATTTCATCATGAGCTGACATTAGTTAGAGAACCATTGGAAAACTAGCTGGGAGTACTGGACAGCTATTTCATCCTGGTTTGGGACTCCTTAGCAGTACTCACCCCCCGGGACTCGAACTCAGGACCTTCCGGTTACAAGGCAAGTGAGCTCGTATACCATTCAGCCACGGGGACCCAATCCAATGGCCTATAAATTCCAACTTCTGCCATTTCACTACATAGGGTGACCCCTAATTGAGGAGTCCTAAACTAGGACGAAGCAGCTGTCCAGTACTCCCAGTGTAACAACAGAAGACAAGGGCCAGGCAACAGATCGTTTTATTACGAAAATCAACGCGTATTTACATATATTTTATGTACATTAATAAGGCTTATGCAAACAGAAAAAAGGCAGTCTTCTAATTGGTTGTTTCTCGGAAGTTAAGCAGATAAACACAGTCTCCTGATTGGTTGTTTTCGATATTTCTCGGAAAGTAGAGCCATTCATCTGCGAATCATATTTGCCCACGTTTAAGTCTGCTGTGATTGGTTGTTGAATCAGTCTAGAATAATGTCTACCAATCAGCATCGATTGATGTCTACCAATTGGCTAGCAGCCTGCTCTCACCACACCAGGTTCTCCAATGATTCTCTAACTAATGTTATTTCATGATGAAATCCTGTGACCGATGAAATCCCTACAACCCAACACTTGAAAAACTTGTATTGTTCGGCAGTTAAAATGTTTATCGTACAAAAGGTCTATAAACAAATGTTTTACAAGGAATGTTATATACTTTTATTCGTATTCTTTCGTCTTCTTCCAACTTGTACACGATTGTATCATCCGCTCTTTCGAGTTGCCCGTCAACGAACCAACGTTCAATGTTCACATTCCTTTACAAATGCAGTAGTTCAAGCTGTACCTAAGTTAGATTATTACTGCTGTTACTGTTCCCTTAAGGTCCCAATTCGACCGCATCGCTACAAATGTTCATCTCCATCTCGTCTTGTCTTCTGCAGCCCTCGTCAGCTTACCTCTATGACTGTTCATATGGATTTTATCTCCTCCTCACACTCTCCTTTTGGACCTCTCACTCGTATTTCCCCATTCAGGTTTCATTCGAAATTCTAGCGCACGATGTCAACCGATGGTCTCCTTACAGTGTGTCTGACTCACCTGGATTTCCTTCAGGATATTCGTTGAGCATTAGTTTCTTGTTCGTGCGCAGAGTTCCTTGTTGTTGTTAATTCTTTCTAGCTGGCCCATCTGATCTCCAGTAGTGGGCTGGTGAAGGCAGCTATCGATGGAAGTATGCAGCAGCGTGCAGAAGGATTAAATTGACAGTAGTGTTGTGTGTGCAAATTTTTTTGTTGAGTTTGCAGAATGCAGATTATTATTTACTAAGAAATTTCAGATTGATGAAGGTGTATCCTACCTTTCCGATTCTGGCTGCCATTGACACCTTCATCCGTCCCTCTGCCTATGTTTAAACCAAATGCTTCCTAGATAAATGAAATAAAGTGAGTGACTTCCTTGAAATTTCTCTTGTTGATAGTGATTGGCGCTGGGTGTTGTTGACTGGTTATCTTCACTACCTCCGTCTTCTCCAATGTTCACCTGGAGTCCTATCTTCGCTAGCTGCTTCTTCAGTCAATTTATTGATTTTCACCTGTAATTCTTCAAGTTTGTCTGGTATTAGAAATCTTGATCTATTAGAGTCAACTTTTCTGACCGATGTGTTCTTGTCTTGTCACTCACTACCCACGCAGTCTGTCTGTCTGTCTGTTTTTGACAGAGAACTTTGTACTGATGTGCACCAGTTCAAGTTGCTACACGAAAATAAAGTAAGAGAAGAAAGTAGAAGAAATGCAAAATAAGGACAGCGGTGTAAGACAAAAGAATAGTAATAACGAAGAACAATATAGTTTCACTGAAAATCATAAGTCACAAGGAGTGGATGCATCTGTGCTAGCCACTGAGGACGATTTTGAGCCACCCATACCACCACTTGTCTCCGGCCATTGGTTTTTACTGCCCCAAAGTCAGGAAGTCTACACCTTCCTGCACCTACGCGGCTTAAACTAACTGTTGCGGATTTCGATGTTTTGGTTTGTCCGCCGCTAGCTCTTTTCCAGCCTGACCCTATGTCAGCTAACATTGCCTGTTATCGAGGAAGGCCATGGCTAGGTGGGCATACGTAACACATGTCCTAACCATCACAGTCGATGTAGCTTGAAAACCTCGTCGATTGATTTCCCCTCCTTACGTAGCACTCGACCGAAATCTAACCTCAATATTGCTCACCTTATTATACCACTTCACGCGGGAGATAGAACGCAGGAACCTATGATCAAAGACAGCTAATCTTTTCACGTCTTCCACTCTCAATGGCCAGTTCTCACTGGTAGTCATAAAGGAGGACTGGCGGACTGCTGAACAATACGCACGCCTTTTGGTTGATAGCCCTATTATCACGTCTACTATGCCAGAGACGGCGTTATCTGGCAAATGCAAAACTACCCCTATGTATCCGTGCGGAGATTTTGTCAGAGATCAACCCGTTGGCGTTGGCTGATAGTACTACACAAATAAGTGGAGCAGACAACGTGCTCTACCACTTCACTACCTATTTCCAAACTAGGAGTCAGTGTAGTCCAGTCCTGTACCATCATCTTACATTTGGCGGGAGCGAATCGCCTGCCAAACGTTCGTAGACTGCAGCTCAAGGTGTTCAAAAGACTCTGCATTCTGTCAGCATCCTCGCCTAGTGTCTCGCATAAACCAGTTAATCACAACGTTCACCATTAGGGTTCCCTTCAAGGGCCTGGAGTGTGATGTGACGAAACAGTTTTCTAAGCATATATCCCATCCATCTTCATTTGCCTCGAGGTAACAGGAACACGTAAAGTTGAGAAAAGAAGTGTTTCCAAAGCTTCTCTCAATAAAGGTGTAATGCGAGGGTGGATAATTACATGAATACATCCGGGCATCATTGTGAATCATTTAATTAAGTTTCGTTACCAGTACTCTGCGACCATTGATTCCTGATAACTTTTAGGACCATTTTCTATATATTGCTTAAACCAACAGTTACAGAATTCATAAACTTTTGTGTAATGATTTCACATCAGCTAATATCGCTGGTTTGGCACATATTATACACATCCTGGCTGTCTCAGTTGATGCAGACTCACTGCCTTATCGATCAATGTTCCCTAACCTAATTATTAGTGGACTTTATAGAATTGCCTGGATAGTCGTCACTTTTCATCTTGAAAGACCCGAAATAGATATAGAACACAAGCATTACTTGATCAGCCAGTCCAAAGAGCAACTGATTAAGGCTGTTTGCAGTGGTTTCTTGAGCTGTGTTCCTATGTGAAGACGTTATCCCCGGCTACGGACTACCTTAGGTTGACTCTCTATTTGCAAATTTTTTCCGTCGATAGCAGGTCGGGTGTGAGGAAGAATTACTCGCCACCGATGACACTGCCTAGTGGTCGCGATATGTCTTGAATTGTCAGAAGTTGGAATTCGTCGACTGACTATCGGATCGTATCCCAGTGGCTGAATGGACTACGAGCTCGCTTTGTAACCGGAATGTCCTGGGTTTGTACCTTTGCGCTGGGTGCGTACTGTTGTGAAGAGTCCTGGACTAGGATGAAGCAACTGTGTATTAATCCCAATTTCCCCATTGATCCTCTGACCAATATCAGCTCATGATACAGTCCTGGAATATGAGTGATTATGAATCTTGGTTTGAATATCCTGCATCTCTCCAACCTAACTGTTCATTTGTTGAAGCTCTGATTTATCCGTGAAACTACCAAAGGAGGGCGACTTACGCCTCACTCTGCAAGAACTGGCGGTTATTCATGCTCCTGTCGACGCCAAGTAAAATTCTGAGTCGCATCATCCTGGAGAGAATAATGGACGCACTGGATGCAAAATTCCGAGCAGAACAAGCTGGATTCAGGAAAGGCAAATCATGTTCTTACCAAAGTGCAAGTCTACGCATCATCATCGAACAAAGCATGGAATGGTAATCAAACCTCTACCTCAACTTTATAGACTTTGGGAAGGCATTCGGCAGCGTTGACCGCGAAATAATTTGGAAACTACTTGAGTACTACGGCGTACAGTGCCCCAAATATTCATCAACCTTATTCAACGGCTGTACGACAACGGCACATGTCAAGCGATCCACAACGCAAAACTCAGTGAGGCGTTTGGATGATCCGGGATCGAGTTGAATAAATTAGAAGAACTGTATTTCGCGCGTGGATAATTTATGTATGATGTCACAATAAATCAAAGGCATACAAGCGAAAACCGACAAACTGGTCGAAGAAGCAGCCGGCGTAGACAGAACTCCAGGTGAACATGGACAAGACAGAAGTTATGAAAATAACCAGCCAACAACAGCAGCAACATCCACTGCCAATCATCATCAACGGGAGGAATTTAAAAGAGGTTACTTCATTCAATTACTCATCTCGGGAGCATTGACTCAACTACAGGAGGAGCGGACGAGGATGTCAAATCGAGCGAGAATCGGGAAGGCGAGCGAGAAACACACACATTCATCAACCTGAAACCAATCTGGAAATCTTCGTCACTCGGCCAGAATCAACAACAAAATTCGGTCGGATTTTCAATACAAACAACGTCAAGTCAGTCAGTTCTTCTGTACGGATGAGAAACTTGGCGGGTAGGTCACAAAGAATATTTCCAACAGCCTGTTGTTGACGTTACCTTTATCAACAACAACTGTCTTCGCTGGCTCTATACTGAAGACCAGTCAGATGGACGGACCGGAAAGAATTACCAACAAGAAACTATGGGAACAAACAAACAGAACAGGAATCAGTCGCGAACCAACAAATATACAGGAAACAGTGGGTTGAGCTGGATTGGACACTCGCACATTTGTGCAAAGTTCTATGTCGAAAACAGACAGACAGACATAGCGCTGGGTGACATCGCGCGCGTCAGGCCATTGCTCGAGTGGAACCAGGCCGAAAGGGAAGCGGTGAGTGGGACATCAGTGCAAGGGTGACATGGAGGAGTTGAAACAGTATGGACTAACATGGATACAAGTGAAAAGTACGCAGAAGACAGATGTGGCAAGTGGAGACGTACAGTTGAAGATCTATGTTCCACTAGAAACCCAAGGGAACAATAATAATATTATAATAATGATTTAGCAGTATATTTAGTCGTGATCAATTCCGCAGATGTATTGTCTTCGTCTGTTGGTAGTTTTCAAAACAGTCCTTCTAACTTCTGTAAGATTTAATCACACAATATCACTGTCCTGTTTAAATAGTGATTTTCACAATTGTCAATGTAATCACATCTGTAAACCAGCAATCATGAACAACAACATTTATTCAAGGAAGTAGATAATATATAGAGAGGTGGCTTTAATTATATAAGTCCGTCAGAGTCTTTTCTCCAGCATTTCAGAAGAACTGGGGTAATTTGGCTTGCAAACTGCATATTATGCTTAAGGGGGATTTGTTGTTAATTCGACGTTGTCTAATGATTAGCTTCCAGTAATTCTGGTAAGTGGTGACTAGCAGTGGAATCCAGGATGCACATTTAATCTTTTATTTTGTACATCTTGTGGACCTGGAGGCCAGCGATTCTTCTACTGTTTACGCACATTTATTTATCGCCTGAATATGAATTCTCTCCTCTGCTGTGCTCACTGAAGCTGGTGTCCCCCAAGATGCTGTACTCTCCCCACTTCTCTTTTCTTTCACTCTTTCTACATGACTTACCATCTTCAAATGACATTAATTTTGTTAAATATGCTGACGACATGACTGTATCTTTGCTTGTCAAATGTCAAAGTGACTGCTCCAAACTAAATGGCTCTTTATCAGAAATCCACTAGTGGTCCAAGGAAAACGGTCTTACCTTAAACCTCTCTAAATGCCAAACAGTAAATTTTACATTTAGGCATAAATCTGACCTAAACAAACTGGTTACCACTCACGAGGTGTGCAACATAGATGGCACTGAAATAGAGACCAAGTCGGAAATGAAATATCTTGGCGTCATTCTATCTACTGATTTTTCCTGGTCTTCACATATCTTGATGATTTCTTAAAAAATATTCCGTCTTACCTTCTACATTAAGAAGTTAAGACATTCCGGATTAACCCAACCCTTACACTTACGATTAGTTAACTCTTGCATCCTGCCTACTATTCTTTACTGTTCCCCCTTAGTTTCTCCAGGGCTAATGAAGAGAGACTATATCTCATTACGTAGGATGTTGAAGGTTGTCAGCAGAGTAAGCCACAGGGTACCACTTAACCAGCCTGTTAATATTCTGGTCGACAGGCACATGGACTCATGTGAAAAATGGGCTCAATCCATTCTATGTAACTCACAACACCCTCTTCATTCACAACTCTCCCCTTGTATGTCATCAGGGAGGACCAGAAGTCTATATAGAAAACTATATGCTCGCACTACCAACTACAAAAACTCAACCATACCCTACTGAGCTCGTGTTCTGTGCGATGAAGAAAGCATTAGGCGTGAAACCTATAACTTGTTAAATAGTCAGCAGAACAACTGGATATCGTCCTTCCGACTCATATCATTTATAGGTACAACGACTTATTTATTTCTTTTCCTTTTCTCTCTCTCTTTCTGTGTTATTTGCTGCTTTGTTTCTCTCTTCCTTACAAACTTTATTTAAAACATTCTTCTTCGTTCTTTCACAATCTGTTTATCTCGACCTTCTTGTTACCACTTACACCAGTAAATATGCTAGAACCTACTTTTCTAGCACCTTCAAACACTCTGTTCAATTTTGGCTTTGCTACCGACATGTCAATATGTTGTTGTTAAAACTAACCGAGATTACCCTTAATCTATGTAGAATTTTATTTATTGTTAATGTAGAAACTGAATGCGCAATACTGTAGTAAAATGCTGAGAATTCCATTCTGTATCATAAGTACTGTTTCGAAATAAAGCGAATTATTATTATTACTCATTGTCAACATTTACTTTCGCATTTACCAATTGATGAGTGATGATTTTCCCACGGAGACTCGAACCCAGTACCCATCTTTTGAGTTAAGTCAATCAATCGCAAATGTAGCGTTTGAAACATTGTTTGTTGGTTTCGAACCTTACTGGGAATGCAGTTGCATCCAGCTGTCGAGTCCCAAGTAGGACGGATTGTGCATTTTTGTCCTGGATTCCGGTGCTAATTGCTATTCAACAAATTATGCATGAAAAATTCTTACCAAATGCGATGGTTTTTTTTATTTATCGTTTTCAGGAGAAGTAATTTGCTGCAAAGTACTCTTTAACGTGATTTCGCAGAAATCAAACTCCACTTCAATGCTGGACATGAAATCCTCTGGTCAATTTCGCAAACTTGCAAACTATTCACACATTTACAGACCGGCGAGTTTTCATCTGTATCACATCAAATCAGCTGATAATGTTGTTATTCAGAGCAAAGATTTTCAAATATTTCCCGATAAAACACCAACCAACCAACCTTTTCATGATGATGATGATGATGATAGCGGTGATATTGTTTCATCCTATGGATCGTTTCCCACGCCACCGGCTACTGTTCTTCAACAATTCAGTGAAGATTCAGACAAAATACCATCAGATGACGACTACCATAGTTTTATAAACATCCCGTTGACAAGCACTTTTCAACTTGTCGGGCAAGTCAACTTACTGCCGGCTATTTCTTCATGTCGAAATCCATCATCAGATTACTGCTGTGAAAGGAATCCTCTCTCCAATATTCAGTTGAATGGCAGTAACTGTACTCAATACTTATACCAGAGCGAAAATCACTATGAAGAGAATAAACAGTTCTCTAACTATTTGCCATCACTGGATACTACAGGTAATGCGGTCTATTTGACCAGATCTATGTAACTTACAGATCAATGTACTTTATAATAGGTTTTGATGCTTTTCTTCACTGTATTGCTATTCGGATAAAGATCCATTAGTATGAAGTTTAGAAATTGTGAAAAATTTTTTACTTAAACAAAGCAAGAACTACAGTTTTAGCGGAATAAAGTGGTACCATCATTGTTTATTTCGTTGCCTTCTCTCACATCATCTGCTTACAGGCCAAAGTCATTATTAATTATATCTACAAAAATAATTTTTACATACATGCACACAGTTCCTTTAAACAAAAATCAATCGGTCAGTATATGCATATAGTAATAATAATATATACATATATGTATATGTGTAATATTAAACACTATTCTGGACAATAATAATCGTACACAATGGAAACTGTTCAGCATTACGCATTCAGATGAAAGAGAGATGAAAATATCCAGTTACCAGGTTGAGAAAGAAACACTGATAACCGCTTCTTTCTGGACGCATAAATCAGGCTTCAGGCGCTTGATGGAAATGGCTTCAGCAAACTTGAGGAGAATTGAGCTCTTTTGCCTATTGATAATTTTGAACGACTTTTCGACGTCCACCTCATGACCCGTGTCGATGAGATGCCTGGCGGTGGCACTGTTTAAAGTATTTGTTCCCTTTAGACATAAGTTTTTTGGTACATGTTCATTAAATCGTAGATACACTCTACTTTCTGGCCTTTCAGTGTGACTGCTTGCGGAGATACATGTAAATTTGTACATACAGTTGGAGTTAACATGAGTAGGATATCTATCGATTTCTGATTGCACCAAAGAGCAAGTTGTTCGACAGACGCAAACGTATTGAAATCTACTATTGAGTAAGAGGGAGTGAAGTGACATAATGGATAGATACAATAACTCATAAGTGGTTTCTAAATTAAATTTTAAGTAATATCCGAAGAGTGATTACTGAACGAAGAATGTTCTTTTCGATAACTTCTGCACTATATATTCTACAGTTATATGATCATAGTAATTAAAGAATGATTTGAATTTTGAATCCTAATTGATATCAGTTAGAGAACCCTTGGAAAAAAGCAAGGAGTTCAGGAGAGCTGTTTCGCCTCAGTGGTATGCACCAGCGGGGTTTCCGAACCTAGGGCCCTAAAGTTAGTTACAAGGCGAACTCGTAGACCGACCATTCAGCTACTGGGAGTGATCCGATGACCAGGACGTTAAATCCAGCTTCTACTGATCCGTGATTTCAACTCGACCACTAACCAGCCACTATTATTTATGGCTAGCATTTGTTCTCACGTCTGCCCACCTGGTGGATCCTCCCACTAGTCACAACTTCGCCCTAGGACTTCAGTCAAATTCATCACATAGCCAAGAGTTTATAGAGTGCGTACTTATGAAGAGTTCTAAACTACGACGAGGCGGCTGGTTCTTCCAGTGGCATCAGTCGGCGACCAAAACTAGAAATAAATCAAATTCTACTAACTAGCTCTTTTTTTTCTTCACGTTCCCAGTGGAACATAGGGCTTCAAACTAGAGGCTTGGAGTTTCTACAGCAGTGGTGATTATTTTTACAGGATGGGGTCTCACTACTGGCTTAGCGGGGTAAAGGAGTGCGCCGGCCGGGGATCGAACCGGACCATGTGCATGGTCGGCGACCGTCCTAACCGCTGCGCCACTGACGCACAACTAGCTCTTAAAGAACCATAATTTTTGACAACATCATTGTTTTTTAAAAAGAAACGTCAAATCAGTGACATCAAAATTCCAAGTGGTATATGTCAGAATAGATTGTTTAATAGATTGTAAATAATTCAAAACAGGATACTCCATCCTGTGGCAAGTCACTAGCGAGCATCAGAATTATTTTCTCTAGTTCTAGTGAGAAGTCGTCACCAGTGAGGTCCATCCATATGTCACGTGTGGGGATGGATGTCCAGCCTATGACAATGGTTGGTGGTTGGGCTAAAATCAGGAGTTGTTAGAATTTAGAATTCATGGGTTAGCCATTGAATCGGGTCCTATTGGCTGAATGGTATACGAGCCAGCTTGCCTTGTAACCAGAAGGTCCTGGGTTCGAACCCTTGTGGTGGATGCGTACTGCTGATGATTCCCAAACTAGGACGAAACAGCAGCTGTCCAGTACTCCAGTGCTGGTTTTCAATGGTTCTCTAACTGATATCAATCCGTGATCAACTCGTAAAAACAAATATACATATGTGATTGTAGAATCAGAAGAGGAAATTATCGAAAAGAAAATTCTTTACTCAGTTTGTTTCTATGTGGCGATTAATGCTCACTACTAGTATTCATATTGTTTATAAACTTTTGTAGTAGCTGGATGATACCATCAAAATACTTCCAGAGGAATTGAGGTAGAAGGTTTTATTTTTGCGTGTGTCACTGTGGTTGGTGTGGTTGTACAGGTGGAGTAATAAGTTGTAGAAGGGAATTGGCTTATACAGGATGCAACATCATACCTTAACGGGCGACACAATACAATACAGTATTTATGCATTTATGGATACCACAGTAGGCCGGGGTAGCAGTAGTGGCTAGACGTGTTGTTTTATACAAATTCCAATAGCCTCTGCTGTCTGCAGTTTTCAGTATCTGAAGGCTTTCGGTAACTTATAAAGCCACTCACCAGATGACAGAGAAAGATTATTCAACGCTAGTTTTATGGCCTATTTGATCAGGTGATTTAGCATCTAACTGTCGATATATGTAACTGTAGAACTCCGCGAAGAAGTTATCTTAAAGACTTCTTTGTTCAGTAGCCAGTCTATTTGCGGGTCGAGTGTGAGGACAAATACTCGCCACCGAAGACATTGGCTAGGGGTCGCGCTAAGCCATGAGTTGGCAGAAGTTAGAATTCATGGGCCATTGGATCGGGTCCCAGCGGCTTAATGGTGTACGAGCTCGTCTTGTAACCAGAAGGTCCCGGGTTCGAACCCTGCCGGTGGGTGCGTGCCACTGAAGAGTCCCAAACCCGGACGGAACAGCTGTCCAGTACTCCCAGGTTTTCCAATGGTTCTCTAACCGATGTCAGCTCATGATGAAATCCTGTAACCGAATTTCACTGTTTAATTTTATGTTAATTCTCTGTTTTTCTTTTGTTTTCTCGTCTCCACCTGACAAATAAACAGATGAAAACTTACCACCAACTCCAGAATAATTAATCAATCAATCAATCAATCAATCTCAACCAATGAAGAGTCAATCTAGGTCACCATGATCGCCATCATAATCGTCATTAGTCATTAGTCATCAGTCATGATCCTTTCAATTTTCTTCTTCTTCTTCTTCAAAGTCATCCGCCTTGTTGTCGTCATTATCAAATTTTCAACCAATCAATACCACCTCTATTATCATTGTCTTTATCTTCATCGTCATCTTGTTCCTCAAAATGGACACCAGTCCATAGGCTCACCAGTAGCCCTATATGAATATCCAAAGCAATTTTTGCAAACGTTCGTCACATAATGATAATGTGAAAAGATGCTATTATCACCCCCTTTAGTTTTAAAGTGTTTTTTTTAATTATTAATACCCGTATAATCTATTTTATTTTTGTCATATAACTAACTGTGAGTAGTATTTTCCCTTACTCATAGATGCATAATTTGTGTGTTCTTATTGATTTCTGTGCTCATTGTACTGTGTGTGTTCTTTTTGTTTGTTTGTGGCCATCTTTTATACTTTTATTCATCTATTCATTGATTTATTTATATAATATACATTTGTCTGTTGGTTCTATTGTTGCTTATATTGTTATATAGTTAGATTTATGAATAAAATATTTCTTATCTTCAAATATTCCCATTTATAATATTAGAACAAGACACATCTAAGCGAAGAATATTGTTGTTTCCAATTAGATCTTCTTCAGGCTTTACTCTAATTTACATAGATTTATACATAAAATTGAGCAGAAGAGAGGATGGTTCACTCAAGAGTGATGTCTGTAGAAAACGCACATTTGTAGGACAATATACACACTTCCTCAGTTTAGTACCGATCCGATACAAAGTCAGTTAGGTTAGATGGCGCCTCACGAATAGAACAAGAGGTATCTGCACAGATCATTGCCTACAAAATGAGTTAGGACACATCCAAAATGCGCTGGTCCAAATGGTTTATCTTAGTAGATTTGTAACGAGACACATGAACACCAAGTGCAATAATCAGGAAACTGACAACAGTTGAAAAGAAACAACTGTTTACGAAATTGAAATTTAATAGGGATGTGACTAGTGAAGTCCCAGATCTCAGATTATCGAGAGCAATAAATTGGACTTATACTGCCACCACCCTTTGTTTATCATTTGCCAGTTACCGACCAATTATGATTGCTCAAGTGAAAGATAAGCTACCTAGCTAGCTGTACCACTTCTATGTGTATCTACGAATTTAGGTGCTCTTGTGGAGAGAGCTATACAGGGCGAACAACTAGACAGCTTAACAAACGCATTATAACTGACCAACTCCCTTCATGGTTCGGAAAAGGTCAAATAAAATCTATAAGAGATTCTATTTTGACTCATTTGATTGATCACAGCGGTCACCAAGTGGACAAAAATAGTGCCTTCAAAGTTACCTGTCGCATCCCACCGAGTCTTTGCATACAAAAGAATTTTATTCTGCCTTTGTCTCTCCCTTGCTAGCCTAGGTGAATTCTATTCAAAACCCTCCCATCCCTACTTCGTTTTCATTTCTTTCGTACTTTTATGATAATTATTATTTACGAGTTGATCACGGATTGATATCAGTTAGAGAACCATTGAAAACCAGGGAGTACTGGACAGCTGCTGTTTCATCCTAGTTTGGGAATCATCGCCAGTACGCACCCACTGGGTTTTGAACCCCAGGACCTTCCGGTTACAAGGCAAGCTCGTATACCATTCAGCCACTGGAACCCGATTCAATGGCTCGTGAATTCTAACTTCTACCAATTCGTGATTTAGCGCGACCCCAACCATTGTCGTTGGTGGGACATCCTTCCACACACGTGACATCTAATTGGACCTCACTGGTCCTTACAAACCAAACTATAGAAAGTTAATCTGATGCTCGCTAGTGACTTGCTACAGGTTGGAGTTTCCTGAGTTCTAGTGAGAAGTCGTGACCAGTGAGGTCCAATTAGATGTCACGTGTGTGGATGGATGTCCCACCAACGACAATGGTTGGGGTCGCGCTAAATCACGAATTGGTAGAAGTTAGAATTCACGAGCCATTGAATCGGGTTCCAGTGGCTGAATGGTATACGAGCTTGCCTTGTAACCGGAAGGTCCTGGGGTTCGAAACCCAGTGGGTGCGTACTGCCGATGATTCCCAAACTAGGATGAAACAGCAGCTGTCCAGTACTCCCTGGTTTTCAATGGTTCTCTAACTGATATCAATCCGTGATCAACTCGTAAAACATAACTAATCCTTACAAACCAAACTATAGAAAATTATTATTTAAACTGTGATTATCTGTCCACTTCACCTTGACCTGATTATTTATTTATTTATTTATTGAATTGTCTACATATTTTTTTTCTTCACGTTCGCAGTGGAACATAGGGCTCCAAGCTATAGGCTTGAAGATTCCGTAGCAGTATTGATTTTTTACACCCAACCTTTCCTCCTTACCAGTCTCACTACTGGCTTAGCAAGGTAAAGTTGTGCGCCGGTCGGGGCTCGAAACCCGGACCATGTGCATGGTCGGCGAGCGTCTTAACCGCTGTGCCACCGACGTTCATGTGCACGCGTATTACCTACTACCTTCGTTATTCTTATCGCTATCTGCATAAACTTTATTATCAATATTTTGTTATCATTATAATCATCGTTATTAACTTCGTTCAAAATATTTACCACATTATTATTACCATTATTATTAATATTAATTGATCCACAAAATCACCGTCATTGGTTAAAAATTTTTTATATATAATAATAATAATTTTTCCTTCACGTTCCCGGTGGAACATAAGGCTCCAAGCTAGTGGCTTGAAGTTTCTGTAGCAGTGTTTAATTTTTACAGGATGGGGTTGCTAGCCTCATGCCCAACCTTTCCTCTTTGCCAGCATTATTTCTGGCTCAGTGAGGTAATGGAGTTCGCCGGCCGGGAATCGAACCCCGGACCATATGCATGGTCGGCGAGCGTGCTAACCGCTATACCATCGACGCATATATATATATATATATATATATATATATATAACTATTTAAATTAGATTAAAGCCTGATGAAGATCTAATTGAAAACAATATTGTTCGCTTATGTGTCGTGTTCTAAAAATTTTTTAATTAATGACGGTGATTTTATGGATCAAATAACAATAATGTGGTAAATGTTTTGAACATAGTTAATAACGATGATTATAATGATAACAAAATATTGATAATAAGGTTTATGCAGGTGATAAGAATAACAAAGTTAGTATATGCATATATGTAGACAATTCAATAAATAAATAAATTAGGTCAAATCAAATGGAACGATAATCAGAGTTTAAATAAATATCATAAAAGTACGAAGGAGAGGGATGATAAGAAAGGGTGGGAGGGTTTTGAATAGAATTCACCTAGGCCAAGGGAAAGACAAAGGTAGAACAAACTTCTTTTGTTATATGTAAAGACACAATGATTGTTCTCTCGAATTAATTCCCATAGCTTCTTCGGCTATGTGCAAAAGACGAATCCAAAATCCGTCCGAAAGGCTCAATGGGATGCGACAGATAACTTTGAAGGCACTATTTTTGTCCACTTGGTGACCGCTGTGATCAATCAAATGAGTCAAAATAGAATCTCTTATAGATTTTATTTGACCTTTTCCGAACCATGAAGGGAGTTGGTCAGTTATAATGCGTTTGTTAAGCTGTCTAGTTGTTCGCCCTGTATAGCTCTCTCCACAAGAGCACCTAAATTCGTAGATACACATAGAAGTGGTACAGCTAGCTAGGTAGCTTATCTTTCACTTGAGCAATCATAATTGGTCGGTAACTGGCAAATGATAAACAAAGGGTGGTGGCAGTATAAGTCCAATTTATTGCTCTCGATAATCTGAGATCTGGGACTTCACTAGTCACATCCCTATTAAATTTCAATTTCGTAAACAGTTGTTTCTTTTCAACTGTTGTCAGTTTCCTGATTATTGCACTTGGTGTTCATGTGTCTCGTTACAAATCTACTAAGATAAACCATTTGGAGCAGCGCATTTTGGATGTGTCCTAACTCATTTTGTAGGCAATGATCTGTACAGATATCTATATGATATTTATTTATGGTATTTATTTAAACTGTGGTTGTCCATCCACTTCACCTTTAGTAATAATTAACATATTACTGCCTTTGTTATTCTTATCGCCACCTGCATAAACCTAATTACCAATATTTTGTTATCATTATAATCATCGTTATTAACTACGTTCAAAACATTTACCGCATTATTATTATTATTATCTGATCCACAAAATCACTGTCATTGGGAAAAAATTTTTATATATAAAACTGTAAATTAGAGTAAAGCCTAATGGAGATCTAATTGAAAACAGCGATATTGTTCCTTTATATATCTTGTTCTAAAATATTTCTTACATTATATTGACACTTTACAATATGATATATGCGTCGGTGTCACAGTGGTTAGGACTGTCGCTGACTATGCTTACGGTTCGACGTTCGATCCCCTGTCGACGTACACCTGATATCTATGGTCGGCCTGCGAAATTCGGGCTAATGATATCACATGCTGATAATTTCACACCTGTATCAAAAAAATACGCTGTGGAATCAAGCTGAAACCAAAATAAGAATAAAAAAATGATTTAAAGCAGAAAAACATAATTTCGTTTTTGAATTAGTTGTGTATTTATTGTCTTAGGAGCTGACTGTTTTAAATACGAAGGCTTGTTGTGACCAAAAGCTCCTGGGTTTGAACCCTGGCGACGGTGGGTGCGTACTGATGAAGAAAGTCCCAAACTAGGCAGATGAAACAGCTGTCCATTACTGCCTGGTTGGTTTTCCAATGGTTCTCTAACCGATCGATGTCAGCTGATGATGAAATCCTGTAACCAATCAAATGAAATCAAATTAAATCCCACCACCTACAAACCATTATTTGAAAATAAATGCGAAGCTTTCCTCGTCCTCACTGGACAACATATTCAGCATAGGTTTCTGTGTAATA